TTTTTGTTTTTAAAAGTACATGAGCAGTATCTTTTTACTTACAGCATCTAAAAATCAGCTGTGTGAGATCTATGCTGTAGAACGTTACGCATCTGGAGTGGGCTTCGGTGCCTGTTCTGTCCACTTGCACAGATTCATAAACCTTGTACTGTCATGATGTAACTGTTCATACATCTGTGTTGTTTTCCCTCCTGTGGTGGTCAGATAAATAGGATGTATGGACCAGACTTCAGCTGGGTAACACAAGCAACTAGACTTTATTTGGAGATCATAGTAATGTCGATATTTGTACTACAATTAAAATTACAGGGAAAAGATAACAAATGGGAATGGGAAGTGCTGGGGTTAATTCTATTGCATTACCTGTAAAGTCTGCATTTCTGCAATGCAGTCAAGATAATTTGCTTTCTCAGGAGTCTCAGCAGAGTGCAGTCCTTGCCAGCTCTGCACAGCTTTATCAAAGGTCTGGGGTGATTTTAAAAACAAAACCAAAAAAACAAGCCACAAAACCCCTTGTACATAAAGGCATCAAATTCAGATAAGCAATTCAGCTGCTTTTATCTGAACAGTGGAATTAAAATTTTAAGACTGAATGCCTAAAAATGGACAGGTCTTTAATCATCTCTTCTTGTGTTTCAAAAGTACAGAGTTAAAGCTGTGCACAAACCTCCTCATCGGCTTAAATCACTAGCTTTGCAGCATGCTATAGTTTAAACATAATGTACCTTCTCTTTTAATGCTACAGTTTCTTGTCTCCCTGTAATATGTACTTAAATTTTGTGACTCGTTTGACTTTTACCTGTGGTGCAGTTACCCTGTGTGAGTCTATGGCATTAAACAGTAACTTCCACATGTCTGTCTTTTTCTTTTTTTTTACTGCAGCACTTGAGTTATTTTTCTGGCTTGGAATTTGTAGAGGTTTGAGGATGTAGGTGACCTTCCTTAACATAAACCAAGAGTATTTGGATGCAGGGTTCTGCTGCATGTAGTCCACCCTTAACATTTCTTAACTTTGTAGATTTAAATTCGTAACAAACTGAATGATCTGACACGAATTTTGTCTCAATAGTGTTTTACAGCTGTAGAACAGGGTGTAGGATGTCAGTCTTTCAGGTGCTCCTTTGGAGCACACTATACTCATGCAGTTCCTTCACAGGAGCAGGAGCCAGTGTGGCACGTACATTCCAGAAGGATCCTCTTTTATTTACCTGCAGCACTAGTACATAGTAATTTAGCACTAAACCAGGCACTTGAGGTGGTTTTGTGTTCAGACACACAGTGACTTACTCCTTCCCCAGTGTTTTGAGGAAGCTGTGAATGGGAGAAAGTTAGAAAAAGAAGTACTTCCTTTTTTTCATGTCCTTTCCCTTTGAAGGTTATCTTCATATCCAACATTAGACTTGTTTTTTTTCTCCTTAAAGAGGGAAGATCAGCAATGCATTTCTTTTCCCCAAGAGGGAGACTGGAGGGAGTAGCCAACATGAACTTAAATGTTCTCTTGACAAGGCTTACGATGCGTAGTAGTGATGAATGCAAAAAAAAATGCATCGATGCCTCTGTGTGTGTACTTGGGAAGCAGGAGTGTTTTGTCAGGGAAAGTGCTCATGTTACAGACTGCTGCTAGGGTCACCTCTGCTGAATACATGTAATACACATCAGGACTTGTCTTAAGAGAAACTATTTTACTCTATGTTAAGATAGTGATCTCTATGTATGGATATTTAATTACTTTGCAGGCAAAGGAGTTTCATTCTTCATGTAACGTTTTAAAGATATGCTAAAATCTTCTCCGTAGCACTGAATGTATTTTACAGTGGAGTTTTCAAAGCCCTGAAAACGTGTTTGGGTGAGGGAAATGCTGACAGCTCTCGCAGTCCGCCCCGGCGGCACCGCTGTAATTCCTGTTAACCCACCTCCGTGCCGCTGCCTCCCGAGCTGGAGTGATGGTGCTGACATCATCGCTGTTGCACTGCAGTGCCTATAAATATCTGCACTTGTATGTTCCTGGGCAAATTTCAGTGGACTCTTTGTGTCATTCGTGTCACCTGGGGAAGGCTAATCATTTTAGATTGGGGGATGAGAGTCGTAAGTTTGTTGTAGTGGATTTTTTTTAATCTTAAATTTGTTTGTTGGTTTTATTTTTTAAATGCCACCACAGCAGTACAGTGTGAAGAAGCATTTCTGATTATTTTTTGTTAGACATCAGGTGAGGAGTGACTTTCTAAACTTAGTCAGACAGCATAAAAGTACAGTGGCCTTCAGGACAGCGAAGATCCACCGGCTCGGGGACGTGGTGGCGCTGGCGCCAGCCCTGGGAGGTTTGGAAGGTCCTCCTGGCCCGACCTTATCAGGCGGTGCAGGCAGCGCCGGAGGGGCCGGGCAGCAGCGATGTGGGGGTGTTGTCTCTGCCCCAGCGCCGGGCACGGCGCCGGTTATCGGGGTCTGGGCGCTCGCCCACGTCCCCGTGTACGGGCTGGTTTTCATCTTAAGACAGAAAATGCCACTTCTCGTTGGTCGCTCTCTTGCAAGGGGTGCAGGGGCGTATCCTACACGCCTTTAAACGCTGTAGGTGAACCAGGGAGGTTTAGGAATGTCTTGGAGAGCTGCTTCAAAGGGGGGACTGCAGCTGGAGCCTGAAAACGTTGGAGGTGGACTGCATCATTCTGCAGCATCGGTGACTTTTGAGTTCAGGGCTCCCCAGTGACTGCTGATCGCGCTCTGGCAGAGCACAGACTTGCTGACGTCAGCTGATCTGCTGCAGGAAAGAACAGTCTATTATTGCTAGACCAAAGCACTTCTTTTACAATTGACTAGCTCGACTTACTGTAGTTATAAAAGGAGCCTTTCTTTTAACAAATTCCAGCAAAAAAGATGAGCCAGATTGCATGAGTTGTGTGGTGAGAGGCAAACCAGCTACCAAGCTAAATTACAGGAGGTCTCCTATTTGTTTTTTTAAATGTAAAAATAGTGTACATGATAGTTATAAATTATAATTTCCATAATTTATTTACTTGCAGATTTAAATAATCTAATTATTTTATGTTGTTTTCAATCACTTGGGATGTGGAGGTTATTTCTAATACTGGAATACTTCAGCAAAACACTGCACAGTGTTCCGAAGCTTATCTGGGACTTCATTTTCTCCCAGTAATGTCGATAACCAGAATAAGTGGAGAGACAGGCTGTGGTCCTGAAAACAATTCAGTTTAAAAGGACTGTTGTGAGAATTCAAACATAGTGTAACAGCACAAGAAAGGAAGTTTTTAGCAATAACTTGCTCTCCTGGAGGGAAAAGGTTGTTTGAAACAGAACTTGAAAAAACAGCTGCTTCCTCAGGAGAACAGATCTGTGGCTGAGCTCAAGTTATGTTTGGGGTTTTGGTCTTTTAATAATCAGATACACTAATCAAATGGAGCCTTTGGTACCACTGCCAGATGAAGCCTGAACTTTATTTATATAACACAATCTACACAGGCTGGTTGTTTTTTTTTTTTTGCCTTGTCCTCTTTTGACAATAATGAGCGAAGCCCCCGGGCCTGGAAGGCAAAGCAGAGCTGAGTTGTCTTCCCTTCCTTAAAGTGCCGCAATGCAGCTGGGCCTCGGCGTTCCCGGGAGCAGGGCTGCTGGAATGGCTGTCCTGGGGTGGGACCGCTGGAGAGAGCTCCGGAATGTGTGAATTCGCCCCCATATGTTCCTTTCTGTCAGATGCTCCCTTTGCAATGCTTGGAAACCAAACAGAAAACATGGCTGCGTGGATCGCTTTCCAGCCCGTGGGGTTTCTCATACAGCTAGCAAGAGAATGTCTAATTAAAGGATGTCACTAACTAACAACTAAATAAGAATCTAATATTTAACAGCATATTTTAAGAGCTTGCCCGTGTCTTTTAGTATGCAGTTGTAGACTGGGTTCTTTCCCTGTCTTTGATAGGATTGATGAGAAGTACACTCATCTTGATGCTTACAGAATTTATAATAAAAGCATTAAATGAACTATACATGTAAACACTTGTACATCCAGACATTAATTGCATAATTGTTCAAGCACGGAATGTTTGTTGGAACAGCTGCTTGATATATAGAGTTGTCAGATAAGTGGGTAAATATCCAAACTCCAGTGACAAGAATGATACTACTTTTAAAATCAGTGTTACAGTTCCATTCTCATGCACAGATCTCTTATTGAAAATAAAATTGCTTTTTCGAAGCCAAGGAACTGAAAATTAAGTTATCCTAATTTTAATAGAAAGCAGATAAAGCAGAGCAGGAGTCAGTTCTTTGCTGTTTGTGATCATAATGATTGTTTTTAGTATATAAAACAACATGGGAGGATTTTCAGGTGAAGTGGTCAGTGCAAGATCACTAGTTAGATGAAATCTATGAAGCACTGTGAGCCTCTGGGTTGGCTTTTGAAAGGTTGTGTAGGGAGTGGCAGGGAGGGTTTGTAACTTCTTTAATTGTCTAAGAGAACAAAGGGGAGATGTCACACACAGAGAGGGATGTGTATGTGTGTGTAATATACATAGATACATGTGGGCCAGTTAGCTGGTGTTTAAAGAACAGGAGTCTTCCTTTCATTTATCTATATTGAGTATTTTAAATGAAATATTTCTTGTACAACATATAAAATCTGGAAACATTTTATGTTTCTATATCTGCATATATATGTGCACAGAAACACATTTTTAACATTCCTATTGGACACTTGCATGCTACAGTTTGAGATGATGTGGCCTCTATATGACTGCAGCCGTATGTTTCCAAAACAAGTAGCTGTTAAATGTCTTTGTAAATATTCCTTTCCCATTATATTCTGCTAGAAGTGTGCTTTTGTTTATTTATATATCTATAATGTTTATATTTTATATTCATACCTACACACACAGAGTGAGACTGTAGGTAAGCCGTATGCGAGTTCAAAAAGCAGGATTTTCTTTCATGGATCTCTTCCTACCTTAACACTGTTTTATAACACAAAATCTATTTGTTTTGGCTTTCAGAAAATGGATCCAAGTGGAGTAAAAGTGTTGGAAACAGCAGAAGATATCCAAGAAAGGCGTCAACAAGTTCTGGACCGTTACCACAGGTTCAAGGAACTGTCTTCTCTGAGGCGCCAAAAACTCGAAGATTCCTATCGATTCCAGTTCTTCCAGAGGGATGCAGATGAACTTGAAAAATGGATCCAAGAGAAACTGCAGATAGCATCTGATGAAAATTACAAAGACCCTAGCAATTTACAGGCAAGTCCTACTGCCATTTTATGTTCCCTGTACTCTTAATTTTAGGATGTACCAAGTTAACTGGGATAGATAGAACAAATGCAGAAATGTAACTTGATCTGAGATTGGTGAAGAAGGATGAATGCAAACACCCACAGCCTGCAGTGTTCTTCAAAAGCCTGGTTTCTTTGCTGATATAAATGGAATATTTCTAGTAATGGATTAGATGCTAAATCAGCATTGAAAGTTACTTGATGTAATGTAGTGTAAAGCCAGTGTTGTTTAATCCTGGAACTTATTGTACACTTTGGCTATGTAAATAAACCTGAACTGACTCTTACTGTTTCCACAAAAAAAAAAATGTATTTGTAGAAAATAAATTTGTGTAGGTGGAACTGGCGGATGGCTTCTCAGATGTTTGAGTGCTGTGGTGTACAAGAGCAAACACAATAGTGAAATAACTAAAATTGGTATGTTTGAATCCACCCATGAAACCCATGATACAGCTTTGATTTCAGTGGTGCTATTTTATTGTTTGTTTGGTCAGTACACTGAAAATTTTGATGCTGGGAAGTGTGGAAGAGGGCTGTGCACCAAATCCCAGTCATGTTCTTTGGTGTTTTCCTTGTAGGGGAAGCTGCAGAAGCACCAAGCCTTTGAAGCTGAGGTGCAGGCCAATTCAGGGGCTATTGTTAAACTGGATGAGACTGGAAATCAGATGATTAATGAAGGCCATTTTGCATCTGAAACCATAAGAGTGAGTTGTAAAACTTTTCTTTTTTTTCCTCTTACAGTCTGTTCCTTAAACACTTTGTGCAGATTGCATGGATAACTCTATATTCTACAACACTTGTTACACTTCTACAACACAACACTTGTTACACTTCTACAACACTTGTTACAATTCTACAGGTATTTAATTAGTGAAATCACAAGAGAATTTTGTCAGACATTTTAACTGCTTGTTCTTTGCTTCTATATAACTTTTTTTTTTTTTCTGCAATAGTTACAAGTAACACAAGTAACTGTACCAGTAAACTTCAGACATGTAACTTCTGTATGCTCTGGCTCAGATCAGGTCTATGGAGATCTTTACTTTCCGTTGAAGTTGTCCTGGCCATAAATTTGAATCTCTTTGAATTTGCATCCCATGGCTTTTCCTGTGAGCTCCAAGGCAGCGAGCATCTCATAGCACAGCTGCTTCCTCAGTAACAAGCAGTGAGCTTTCTTCAGATCCTTTCCTAAGATCTACTGTTGGGTTTTTTTTCTTTCTCTCTACATCTCCCAGCCTGTGTAATGCAGGGACAAATGTCTTTTCCTTGTTTTTCCCACAGATACATGCACATACTCCACCAGTAAACAGTTATTTTTGATCTGCCTACCAGCTGCTTCTCTAGGACTCATTTTGTTAGAGTGCTGTTTCTGGGCCTCACTTGTTTCAGTGTTGGTTGTGGGTGTGTTTTTCTTCAATGCAAAGAAGTTGTTTAATGCTTTTTCTGTTATAAGATCTGGATGTGAGCTGCTACAACTTTTCAAAAGGAGAATTTTTATGATATTTTTATAGTGATTACCAAACTCAGCTGACACATTCATCATTTCATTGTAACTAAGAAAAGATGGTGACTTAGAAAATAGAAAAGGAGAATATTTTTATACCTTGTATAATAAAAAAACCCCTAAGGTAATGGTTATTTTAGAAATCTCATTGTGATTGTGTCCTCTTCAGCACAAATAGAAAAAAAAAGTTGCTTTACAGTTGGGTGACCTTAAATAATACTGTGTCTTAGCTGCTCAAAATAAGTTGTTGTTTGTGTGGTAATTTGCCTTTTAATGGTTCAGTCTTTCACGCCGTACCGGACCGCGCAGCGCCCGATAGTGACAGCCACACAAGTTGGGTCCCACATACGAGTAGGTGAAGGTCTTGGCTCTGCAGTGCAACCTCTTTTTGCAATGCCTTTCTTCCTCCTTGGTAGACAGCTTGCACTGTCCTTCTGGGCAGCGCTAGGAAATGGTGTGAGCTCTTTCCTCACTTGAAACCTACCAGACTGAGCTAAGTGGATGAAGTGGGTATCCACCCAAGCGACATGCTCAGAAGCTTCTCTGGCATGACTTTCAGGTTTCAGGTCTCGATGAGCAAAGCGTTATAGATGATGGGTGGAGCAGACACTTTCCTGTTTTGCAAGTTGTGTGCCTGTGTGGGAGTGTGGTTTTTCTTTTATTTGTCTATAAAATATACAGTTGCTCCCAACAGTTCTGAAAGGCAAGAGTGCAGCCAGAGAGACTCAATATTAAAACTAGTAATTACTTCTAGTATTTCAGTGTTATGTTACTTAAAAATGTTGGCTACATAGATTAACTGATTAGTGCTAAGAGAAATGGTTAAAATACTGTAAAGTGGCACAAGTTTGACTTGAAACAAAATGTATCATCTTAAACAAAAATAAATCCCCAAATAAAGATGGGTCACTTGTTAGAGTTAAGTTTCATGTACAGACTGAACATTTGAAGGGAACAGGAGGAAATTTTTGATCTGACTTCACACTAACACAGAATTTAAATCAAATTTTAACTCAAAATGTAAGGGTTTGCCCACCCTTTGTCTACAACTTTGAAAAAAAAATCTTCTGTTAAGATCAGGAAGGGAATAAATCTAAAATCTCTGATACAGGATTTTAATAACAACATCCTGTTTTAGACTCGGCTGCAGTGTAAGGGTTTGCCCACCCTTTGTCTAAAGTAAGGTTTAGGATGTACAACTTTGAAAAAAAAACCTTCTGTTAAGATTAGGAAGGGAATAAATCTAAAAACTCTGATACAGGATTTTAATAACAACATCCTGTTTTAGACTCGGCTGCAGGAGCTGCACCGACTATGGGAATTACTGTTGGAAAAGACAAGAGAGAAGGGAGTCAAACTGTTGCAAGCACAGAAGCTGGTGCAATACTTACGGGAATGTGAAGATGTCTTGGACTGGATCAATGACAAGGTATTTTATTGTCTACCTTTACTATGTTCTTGATGGGAAATTTGATGCATGTGTGTGGAAATTTTCTATCAACATATAGTTGCTGGAGTTCAGGTAATCACAGAGAGCTTTTAAAATCATCTATACATTTTGCCTAGTTCATTCATATTGCATAAGCAGTAGGTGTGCAAACTACTATTCCTCCTTTTGCAGCCACAAAAAGAGAAGATACTAGACTAAGAAGAAGCCAGCATGTTGTAGGGCATAGTTAAACACAATCCATTATTTCTTTGCTTTGAGGAGAACTTCATATTTCTCCTAATAGTCAAATTCAAGTTTCCTTTATGGGAAATCTACAAAATGTAAAGCAACTGTTTTTTTATAAATGTTCTAAATGTTCTGTTGTAGACAGTGTCCAGCCTAAGCAGCAAGCAATGTGTACATTGTTACTTTAATGATTAGAGTAGGTGTCCCTGCTCATGGCAGAGCGGTTGGAACTGGGTGACCCTTGTGGTCCCTTTCAACCCTGGCAGATTCTGATCTGTTTTAGCAGAGGACTTTAGAGCCCTCATGGCTCAATGGTTGGACTTGATGATCTTAAAGGTCCCTTCCAACCTAAAGGATTCTATGATTCTATTCTATGTACATTGTAAGGACACAAGCTGCAGGAGAACTGTTGGCTCTTCATTCTTTGAACTCTGAGGAAGCAGACCACAAACCACACTATCAAGGAAAAAAAAAGCCACAGAATGATCATCTAGGTTTTTTTAATGATGGTTTGCTGTTTCATGTCACTGTGGGTGCCAACTGTAAACCCTGTATAACTGTTACGGAACGTGGTGGTGCACTTCTCATAGAGAAATCTTGCATCAGAAGCCTACAGCAAATGCCTGTAAACAGTCTGGAAATGTAAACAGATTCTAGTCCCTGTGTGCACTCCAAAATAGCAGGGGCAATTATTTTGTAATTGTAAAAGTACATTTTTTTTCCATACTTATTTTCTTTCAGTAATTCAAGTTGTTGTAGTAGTGATCATCATGCACAGGACAGACAACTGTGACAGAAGAATTGGTTATATTCAATAAATTGAAAATAGAATGGAAGCAAGCAAGATGAAAAATACACCCTTAGTGAACATGCATGTTTCTGCAGTAATGGACAGATGGGGAGGGGGAGTTTAATGGAGAAAACTGTAGTTTTAGATCTTACTTTAAACACAGTGAGTATAGTTGTCTTTGACCTATTCAAAACTAGGGTGGTTTGCTCCCTGATTTTTAGTAGTGATTTCCCACCGGGTATACTGAAATCTACTTTGTTTTCCCTCCCAATATTCTAGGAAGCAATAGTGACCTCAGAAGAGCTTGGGCAGGACTTGGAGCATGTTGAGGTTTTGCAAAAGAAGTTTGAAGAGTTCCAGACAGACCTTGCAGCTCATGAGGAAAGAGTAAATGAAGTGAACCAATTTGCTGGCAAACTTATCCAGGTAAACATTCCTGTGTGTTAAAAATCTCTCTTGGCAAGTCTGGATAACACAGCAGGTTTTTGTCAGCAGCTTCCTCTTTTTTCCCCTGATTTAGTAGCAGATTTTTAAGCTTTACTCTGTATGCCTAGATACTTGGCTATTTTAAATGTGAATAGCTATTATTTGATTCACTTGTTCTTCTGCTGAACAGCTTGAGTAACTACTGCAGCTGAGGGTGTTCCTGAAAATGTGGAAAGTAGTGATTAATAGGAACTGTTGTGTTTGGAGTTGAAAGTATTTCCCTTGGACAAACAGGATTAATATATCTTCTTTTTTGGGGCTCGACCAAGGATGGAGACAGGGCAGGAAGTATTGCATGCCAGAAAAAAAAGATACTGTTCACAGGCCTCTTCACATTGGCTAGTTAGATCATAGGGAAACTTAAACTACTACAAGAGTATTGAATGTTTACACAGAGTTTTCAGGGAAACTATTGAACTGAGTAATCATCTGGAAAGTACAGTAATTATCAATTGATCTCCTGAAAACCAGCGGTGTTTCAAGGTTTTGTCAATGAATATAAAACTACAGAACATGTGGAATAGCATTTTTCCTTTGCTCACTAGGAGCTACACCCTGAAGAGGAACTGATAAAGTCCAAACAGGATGAAGTCAATGCCAGCTGGCAGCGTCTTAAGGGGCTTGCCCTTCAGAGGCAAGGAAAACTTTTTGGGGCAGCAGAAGTTCAGCGCTTTAACAGGTATGATCTTGGCTGGGTCTGCTGAAGTGCTGTAATATTTGTGTGGGTGTTTAATGAGGCATTCAGCTGCATACAGTAGTATGAGAAGAGCTACTGTTTGTTACATTTTTGCTTTACTCTTCCTCATGACTTGCTGAATGAGGACCTTGTCAGAGGCAAGGAAAACTTTTTGGGGCAGCAGAAGTTCAGCGCTTTAACAGGTATGATCTTGGCTGGGTCTGCTGAAGTGCTGTAATATTTGTGTGGGTGTTTAATGAGGCATTCAGCTGCATACAGTAGTATGAGAAGAGCTACTGTTTGTTACATTTTTGCTTTACTCTTCCTCATGACTTGCTGAATGAGGACCTTGTTGTTCTAGAATTACCTTAGAAGAATCATTCTGAACCAGCTCTTCAACACTTGTTCCTGCTAATGGCAGTTTTGCTTCCTTTTCTTCTGAGGGCTTTTTCCCCCATCTTCATCCTAGATGAGCCTTAAAAGGGCTTTGGTTGACAGATGGATGCCAGTCCAGTCGTCCCAAGGATCTTTGTGTCTTCTTATCCTCATTTCCAGCATCTTGGGATTTGCTGTAATTAAATCAGAGAAGGGTCCAGAGTGGGAATTAGACCTACTGGGTGATGGTGCTCAGTGATTCTAGAGTTCCTTGTTCACATCTGGAGACACAATCTGAAGAACAGGCTGCCAGTCTGCTTCAAGCTGTTTTGAGATTTAAAAAAGTAACCAAAAACCCAACAAAAATAACACCATAATTTTTTAGGGTTTGGGGTTTTTTTTTGTTTTATTTAAAGGATGATTGTAGTTTGGTGCAGTGTTTACATATATATGGATTTGTATGCCAGTGTGTCTAACACACAGTCAGGAAAGCATCCTGCTGTCTTCCGTTTTCCATACAAGATAGACTGCTTTCAATTTATGCTTTGTTTTGAAGGGATGTGGATGAGACAATCAGCTGGATTAAGGAAAAAGGGCAGTTGATGGCCTCAGATGATTTTGGCAGAGACTTGGCCAGTGTGCAGGCTTTACTACGTAAGCATGAAGGCCTGGAAAGAGATCTTGCAGCTCTGGAGGATAAGGTACCCGCATAAGATGAATTTTACCTACCGTTTAAATGAGATAACAGTCTGGAAAAGGCTAGAAACTTACTCACTCTTTGTGACTGGGTTTAGGTTAAGGCCCTTTGTGCAGAAGCTGACCGTTTGCAGCAGTCTCACCCAATAAATGCCTCTCAAATCCAAGTGAAACGGGAGGAGCTTATTGCCAACTGGGAACAGATCCGAACTCTGGCAGCCGAGAGACACGCTCGCCTTAACGACTCCTACAGGTGGGAAAGCTGTGGTCCTGACATGACCTCCCTGCCTTACTCAGCTTTAACAGAGGGCTCTTGGCAGGAGGGGAAAGGGATGCTGTTTCCAAAATATTTTTATGATTCTGTTGTTTTCAGAAGCAGTCTTGCTCACCAATTTATATTTTACAATAACTTATTGTAATAAAAGGAGTTTTTATATGATAAGTAAACACAGCTTTTGGTCATTCTCTGCATGTGGATCAGTTATGAAAACAGACACTTTGACGTTTTAGCACATTTGCTTTTTCTCCCATCTGAGTTGTTACCTGCATTTTGAAGTACATTATCCAACCATGTTCTAGTTTTGGTGGGTTTTTTTAATACATGTGTTACTAATCTCTTCACTATGGAGTCCTTACAGTTCTCTCTGGAGACTTAAGTGTGGTATATTTTTTGATGTATTGTCCTAGACTAAATGAAGGACCTGTTTCTGTGATAGTTGCTTTGTTGCTGTGGGATTTGCCTTCATCTGATCTGGTTTCTCTGCTAGCCTGGTTGTCTGTGAAACATAATCTGTTAGATCCCTGTTGAGAAGCCCTACTAAAAAGAAACTCACCCTAATACGGTGGTTAGTTTACATCCTCTCTGGTTTTGTTTTTCTGCTCCTTGTTGCCTTCCATGATGCAAGATTTATGGTGGTGCAGACCCACAGATCATTCTTCCTTTGCCTTCCCTGTCATAATCTCTTCAGATCAATTAACAGCATATTTAAAAGGGAAACAGAAGCTGATCACTTCTGCTGATAAGTGTTCAGCACATGCCAAAGGCAACAGACGTAAAAGCACACTGGAAGGAACCTGAGGATGTTTGCTTGTTGTTTTAAGGCTGAGGCATGTGCAGTTGAAACTTTCTGTCAGTTCCCCCCCACACACACATACTGTGTCATGATTGTGACAGAAGCAGTCCTGTGGGCTGTCTTGAAACACTCTGCCTGAGACCTGTCTTTTAATTTCTATTGTCTTCAGCAGACAGGCTTGGAGTTAGGAGGATTCCTTTTACTCTTGGTGTAAGTTCTGTGCAAATCACCTCTGGGAAATGGGTTTTGAACTTAGCATTTTCCTAACTTGAAAAGGCTGCTTCTTTTGTTTGAGTTATTTAGTTATTTAACATTCTGGTTGCATTTTCCTATTGTCTTGTCTTGTTTCTATGTGAGGGACAGCTTTTGTGTTTGTAAACCTTTCTTTGGGGATGGAGAAATTATGTGAACAAATTATCCCCAACCATTTTTTCTTTTCCTTTCCTAAGGCTGCAGCGCTTTCTCGCAGACTTCCGAGACCTCACCAGCTGGGTGACTGAGATGAAGGCTCTGATAAATGCTGATGAACTTGCCAATGATGTGGCTGGAGCAGAAGCCCTTCTAGACAGACATCAGGAGCATAAGGTATAATGGTTATACAGTGTATAATGGCCAGATCCAGTCTGCATTGATCATGCACTTAACACAGGACTGGGTTGCTCTCCCGATTTAATATTTTTACTTTATTTCTTGGTAGTAGATAAATGCTAATAAATATTTAGGAATGTTTATGATGATATTTTATAAAAAATAATTAGACCTGTTTGCAGTCAGACAGACTAACGACTTTTAGTTCTCCATCATGGGGAACTGCTATAAGTAAGCAGGAGGAATGCAGCTTAAAACCAATCTTTAGTTTCATTTTTAGCATAGGAATTAATATTTACCTTATCTGCATTGTAAGGTAATACATTTCATTCTAGTTTTCTTGTTAAGTGTAATGTATTTAACGGTAGTTGAATGTTTATCATGCAAGTGTCCAGACTGTTGTCTTTATTACTTTCAGTAGCAGTTTTCATATTCTGACACTCTATTCTAAGATAAATATTTGGTAACAGCTTATTCACATCCCTTTTCACAGGGGGAAATTGATGCCCATGAAGATAGCTTCAAATCTGCTGATGAATCTGGCCAGGCTTTGCTTGCTGCTGGGCACTATGCTTCTGATGAAGTTAAAGAAAAGGTAAGTTTGAGAGCAAGAGCTCCTAGAAGAATTTTGTCTTTCGCCTGTGTCATTTAATTTAAAAGTTCATTTCTTGTTAAGATTGTAAGCTTCAAACTATCTCCCTCTAGATTACAGGGCTTTCCTCATGTATTTAAGTAATACATGAGTATTTAAGGAATTTTTTGGTTTTCATTCTCAAACTGACAGTTGCTGCCTAGCTTTTAATGGGAGCTATTAGGACTATTAGTACTGTCTAACAGGAATTATTAGTATGTCTTTTCCCCAAAAGAAAAATGGGTTACCTAAGTTTAGGTTTGTTATCAGAAGTGACAGTAAATATTTAGTATTTATAAATACTTTATTTTTTGGCTTTCAGACTAATAGGGCCTCTTGTGAAGTCTGCATACCAAAATATTTGCCAGTTCAAATGCCCTAAGTTGAGAGTGGGCCAAGGAAATTTCAGAGGCTGAGAGAACAGCATAGTCTGCTGAAGAGCTTCTCTTACAAATAGGTCTGCAGCCAAAAAGGACAGTTGTCCATTAAATATCTCTGTGTAGATTTAATTTGGAAAAGGAGAGGTTTCTGACTGAAGGCAGAAGGTTGTAGGCACTGCTTAAGCTTGGTAACTGAGAAAAGGCTTGTCTTGTATGAGGAGGATGATGTCAGGAGCAGAAGAATTCTTTACACAGGAGGCCATTTTCAGTCCAGTGCTAATTGCTGCTTCAGCATGAATACTTGATTTCACATTGAGATGGAAATGAACCAGACTGTTAAATAAAATTATTATATTTCTCTTCCATTAGCTGACCATCCTCTCATCTGAAAGATCTGCCTTGCTGGAGCTGTGGGAGCTTCGCAGACAACAGTATGAGCAGTGCATGGACCTGCAGCTTTTCTACAGAGATACTGAACAAGTAGACAACTGGATGAGCAAGCAAGAAGTGAGTGCATATCTTTGAACTCTCTAGAGCTCAAAACATGAACATGTGCTAGTGGGCAGGGTGCTGTGCAGAGTTATTTATCTGACTGCCCAAGCTACTACAATATCTGTTTCCATCTAATGATGAAACTAGAAGTTGTGACAAGTCAGCTGGAGATTGCTTTCATGTAGTAAAATGCTGCTTGAATAAAAAGCTAAAAAAGAATTATCCTGAACCTTTGGCCATTAGAGATGTCAGAGAACACCATGCCAGTATATTATCCTTTACTTCAAAATAATACCATATGGTAAGAGACATCACTGGCCATGCCTGACTTGACTTAGAGCAGCTAAGCATGGAAACATAAAGATGTGTTTGTTTCCTCACTTTAGGCATTTCTGCTGAATGAAGACCTTGGTGACTCTCTGGATAGTGTGGAGGCTCTTCTAAAGAAGCATGAAGACTTTGAGAAATCTCTAAGTGCCCAAGAGGAGAAAATCACAGTAAGATATTTACATTCAGCAACCACTAAATGGGCAAGAAATAAAATGAGTGAATTTGTTGCTGGGGAGGAGACACTGCTGGGATGACAGAGCAGGATGGGGTTTGCTGTGCAAAATGATGCACTGTTGTGTGAGATTGTGAGGTGTGTTATCTCTAAATTACATATTTTGTCTCTAAAATGGAAAATAGTGGAAAAGATAGAATAGAGCTTGATTGTTACCTCCGAGGGCTGAGAAACCCAGTTCTCACATATCATGCCAGCATGTGTGGTTGAAGATCTGTCAGAAATCTGCACTCTTCCACACGTAAGATGATGGCACAATTGAAAAATGGTTTAACAATAGCTATCTTATTGACTTTGTGTTAGTTTTGCTGTGCTAAACTTTGGAGAATTAATTTACTAAGTAAACTTGCACAATTTCTGTTACAGTAAGTCAATGGAAACCTGTTTTCTTTTTAGGCATTAGATGAGTTTGCTACTAAATTGATTCAGAACAACCATTATGCCATGGATGATGTTGCTACACGAAGAGATGCTGTAAGTATCTAAAACAGATTTGGGCTGTAGACTCTGAATCATGTTCTGCTATATTATTTTAAATGGCATCACTGCAATATAGGATGTCAGCAAAGATGTCCCACGAGTACAGCTACAGTGCTGGTTCTTACAGGTGTGAGGAATTTAAAAACCTTTCCTTTTTTCCAGCTGCTGAGCCGCCGAAACGCCCTCCATGAAAGAGCCATGTACCGCCGTGCTCAGCTGGCAGATTCTTTCCATCTGCAGCAGTTTTTCCGAGACTCTGACGAGCTGAAGAGTTGGGTTAATGAAAAAATGAAGACTGCAACAGATGAGGCATACAAGGTAAACAGAAAGATGGATGTTACAGTAATTGTAAGGCAATATCAGGCTTAATGTAATCAGTCTAATGATACCAAGCAATGTCAGCCAAAATGTTGTTGATAGTAGGCAGTATATTAATACTGCAGGAGGAGTTGTAATTTCTCCCTGACCTCAAAGGAGTTTTTCCCATCATACTGTAATCATGTTTATTCAGTAGCTTAAGTGTTCTGATTTCAAAGACATATTTTTGACACCAAATCCTCTGGTGACATCTTGGCATGTATAGGAATGATGTCCAATTAAAAAAAATTATTCAGAGGCCTATAGATACTGATTTTGGATTGAAAAGTTATTTTTCTTTCTTCACCTGTAGGATCCATCAAACTTGCAAGGCAAAGTTCAGAAGCATCAGGCTTTTGAAGCAGAGCTCTCTGCTAATCAGAGTCGCATCGATGCCCTGGAGAAAGCTGGCCAGAAGTTGATTGATGTCAATCACTATGCATCTGATGAAGTGGCAGCTCGAATGAATGAAGTTATCAGCTTGTGGAAAAAACTTCTGGAGGCCACTGAGCTCAAAGGTACAATTTGCTCTGAAGAATGCAGGCAGTTCTTTTTCTAGAGAGTTTAGCTGGGAGAAGACGGGGAGTGAGTTAAATGAAGTAGAAAACTTAAGTCATCGTTTCCTCTTTCTCTGTCAGGTATAAAACTGCGTGAAGCCAACCAGCAGCAGCAGTTTAATCGCAACGTGGAAGACATTGAGCTGTGGCTGTATGAAGTAGAGGGACACTTGGCTTCTGATGATTATGGAAAAGATCTTACTAACGTTCAGAATCTTCAGAAGAAACATGCCCTGCTAGAGGCAGATGTTGCTGCCCATCAGGTATGGGAAATCATTTCTCTTCCTGCACTTTTAGATCTGCTCACTCAAAAGCAGTCACCCCAGAAACCTTAGCAGGCTTGTATTTTCATAATTTTTGTAGCTTTGGGCTTTACAGGTTATTTATCGTAAATAATTTTGAACTGAAACATTAATTGTATGCCTCTAAGAATGATATCTTCATGATTGGCAAAAATAAGCTTTTTGGGGCAAAAAAATCCTGCTTACAGCACAGCATTGTTTTGTGCTGTGAATACCAACTTCTAAAGATGTGCTGTGCTTTGCATAGGAGATAATTCCCCCTTAGACTCTCCATTTAAAAACAGCTTATTCTTGTTCAGTTTGTTTTCATATAGCTCTAAGAAATGGGAGGGGAGGGAGAACAGGTCAGTTTTTAAGTATAGAACTTTACAGCAAATAGTTCTTCCATTTGCAAATGATCTTTAGAACAATCAAATCCACAACAAGAATTTAGACAAAATCTGGATTCCCACAACTGGAGTTACCAGTTGTTAACAATTAGGAAATTATTTATCTAGAGCAGCACATCTGTAAAGTTAATGTAATTTCAAGAATCTTTTGTTTATTTTACAAATTTGACAGATTAAACCCAATTTCATTTACATAATGTGTTGAGTATTATCCAGGATCTAATTATTACTGAAATTATTGCTCTGACAGTGTGCAGCTGAGGTTCTCTTCTTTGTCATAACGTAACTCATTAGCTAAGATCTGAAGATGTTTGGAGTCACTGGAGCCATCTTACAGAAATTCTGACACAGTGCTGAATTCATTTCAGGATCGTATAGACGGCATCACCATCCAGGCACGCCAGTTCCAGGAGGCTGGGCACTTTGATGCTGACAATATCAAGAAGAAGCAAGAGGCTTTAGTAGCTCGTTATGAAGCCCTGAAGGATCCTATGGTAGCTCGCAAGCAGAAACTGGCAGATTCTCTTCGGCTGCAGCAGCTTTTCCGTGACATTGAGGATGAAGAGACCTGGATTAGGGAAAAAGAACCTATTGCAGCTTCAACAAACAGAGGTTTGTCCCTCCTGGTACCTCTGGGATTTAGATGTCAGAATAGCTCTGTTATATAATTTTGTCTCCTTATGGAACATTTCCTGGAAATTTCTGAAATGTTGATTGTAATGAACACTGCCTGGAGTTACATACTTGCCATTGCTTGTAGTTCTTTAACTCTTATGTTCCTTTGACCATTCCAGTGGGTAACTTAGTTTTCATAGTGCTCTGTCTTCATTGTGATGGTACTTGTTCTGCAAGTTCATCTAGCACTGGTTGAAATTTTTCTTTAGTCTGATGACTCTGAATTAGCTGATTAACTATTTTATATCTTTCAGGCAAGGACTTAATTGGTGTCCAGAATCTGCTAAAGAAGCACCAGGCTTTGCAGGCAGAAATTGCAGGCCATGAGCCCCGCATTAAAGCAGTCACACAGAAAGGAAATGCTATGGTGGAAGAGGGTATGTCTGATGGTTTTTACTGCTTTCTCTTTCAGAGATCCAGAAGTCTTTGTGCTGGACTTTGTTCTCTGGCCCTGTGCAATTAAGAATTACTGCCTGTCCTTATCAAAGCAATAGATACCTGCTAGCAGGGTGAAATCCTGGTCATTCACCTGAAAATAAAAATAGAGTCCTTGATGGGAACCTGTCGCGATTTTCGCAGAACTCCATCTGCTTTTGACAAGCACATGAGCTCTGTATCCAGCAGCTTTGTGCCTATGATACTTAGTCTGTTTTTAAACCTATTAAAGGCTTATGTCTGAGATAAGTAATCATGATGTGAGAGATGATCCCCCACAAAGA